CCCCCGCCGCCGCCGGCGGTGCCCGACCCTCCCGGCTCCCGGCCGCCCCTCCCGACCTGGCGGCGGGTCCCTCCTGGGGGCAGAGCTGTGACCGGTGCTCTTCGGCCCCTGATTTTCATGCCGTCGCATCACCTGAGCATCGAGCCTTGGGCCCAGAGTTGAAGCAGTTGGCCGCTGCTGAGTTGTCCGTTTCCCTGCTTGTTTATCTGCGAGATAGAAATGTCCCCGCTCCACGGAGATGTGAGGACGGAGTGGGCGGAGCGGTAAAGCTGTGGGGGCTGCGTGACCTTGGACAGGCACCCGTCCTCTTTCCAGCCCTGTCTCCACGTGTGAGGATGGCAGGTGCTGTCCACCTCGCTGTCCGGAGGTTATCTGAGGAGTGTGGGCAGCTTAGTGCAGCGGGTCTGTCCCGGTTCCCGCGTTGCTGCTACAAGTTAGGTTCACAGCTGAGGCATAGACTTGCGGTATGCAGGAGTGAGGAAGCCATCTCTTCGTTCATTTGTGCCCCAGGCCTCAGTTTCTACGTCCTGCGATGCAGTGTGCTTAGATTTGGGTTGGAATCCTGTCTCAGTCACTTGGTGTGCGAGCCACTTAATTTCCCTGGGTCAGTTTGCTTATTTACAGGACAGAACAAGGGCTATGGTTGTGAGCGTCAGTCAAGCAGGATTTCTGATGTGAAAAAGCCTTGCACATGTGCTCTGTCCAAGACACAGCTTTTGGAGCAGTCTGCCAGGCAGATACACGTAACACTCCCACTGCCCCGGGCCTCTGAGGCTCATGCTCCCCAAATAGCAAATGTCGAGTTTCTGTTTCCTTTGCCCTTACTGAGAATTTTCTAACGTGAACGTTAAGTGCAGGGAATGTCATAATTTCCAGCTTTCTCTGGTTAGAGGAAATTTTGTGGGCCACCGGGCTGGTTGGGCTCATTTCAGATGCACCTGGTGGGACTTAGGTTTGCTCTCCCCTTGGCCTGCCCGAGTTACTTGCCTTATGATTTCAAGGTGACCCCGCATTTCTCTTCGGTCTCAACTCAGGTTAGGTTATTTAACTGGGGGGAAATAATGGATGGAAATGCTTATTTCTGGGTGATTAAGATCATTGCAAGTGTAGGGTAGAGGGTTAAAAAAAGAGGGGGAGCAAATTAATTGAAGAAAGTAGTTTCTTTCCCGCCAGTGAGATCTCTGTTAAAGTGGTGGTGTGTTGGCCTTTCCCAGGTCAGCTTGTGTTGCTGTCCTGAAGGAGCGTACCTGATGAGATCGTGGGCTTTATTACTGTTCTGCAGGGAGTGTGACACTAATGGAATATTTCCATTATTTTTGGTAAAATTTAAAAAGCGTAGTAAGAAACTCTGGAGTAGAAATGATCTAAGTTCCTAGCTACAGTCTCTTGGATTCTAAGCATTATACTATTTAAGTGCCTTTTAATAGGAAAAAAAAAACCATCAGCTACTGAATAGAAATAGCTGGTATGGCTAGTTGAAGTTGAAAATGTGGAAGAGAACTACTGAAGGAGGCAACTCGGGGTTAATGCCCAGGGACTTACTGTACCCTCCACCACCACCAGAAGGACAGCGCTGGGACCTGGGAGTGTAGAGTGTGGCTGTGGTCTCTGTCCTTAGAGTAGCCCGTTACGACGGATGCATTCACGGCATCGCTGATCATCAGGGAAATGCAGAGCGAAACCACGATGAGACGTCACCTACACCTGTCAGAGTGGCCATCGTTGAAAAGACCACAAATAACAAACGCTGGCAAGGATGTGGAGAAAAAGGAACCCTCCGACACTGTTGGTGGGAATGTAAATTGATGCAGCCACTGTGGAGAACAGTATGGAGGTTCCTTAAAAACTCAAAACAGACTTACCATATGATCAGTGAGTCCCACTCCTGGGTATATATCTGAAGTAAATGAAAACATTAATTCAGAAAGATACACGTACCACAGTGCTCATAGCAGCACTATTTACGACAGCCAAGATACAGAAGCAGCCTAAGTGTCCATCGACAAATAAATGGATAAAGAAGATGTGGTATATGCAATGGAATATTAGTCTTAAAAAAGAATGAAATTTTGCCATTTGCAACAACGTAGGTGGACCTGGAGGGCATTATGCTAAATGAGCTAAATCAGAGAAAGACAAATACTGTATGTTATCACTTACACGTGGAAGCTAAAAAACAAAGCAAACTAGTGAATATGACAAAAAAGAAATAGACTCATAGATTTAGAGAAGATAGTCATGGTTACCAGTGGGGAGAGGAAAGGGGTGGGGGGCCACACGGGGGCAGGGGATTGAGATACAAACCGCCACGTGTGAAGTAAATAAGCTACAAGGATGTATTGTAGAGCGCAGGGAATGTAGCCGCTATTTTATAGTAACTATAAATGAGATGTAACCTTTAAATATTGTGAATCACTATCTTGTACACCTGAAACTTACATAAATTTGTAAGTCAGCTATTTCTCAATTAAAGGGAATTCCATTGTCGAGGGAAGGGAACTGGTGAGTCTACCTCAGTGCACCGATTCTGGCCCCATCGATTCTGTGCCTTAGTTGTTAAAACGTCAAGTGGTGGACTAGGGGAGAGACCAGCTGCTAAGCGAGCAGTGTGTTCTGAAGTCGGAGAGGACCCAGTCTGTCCACTTGCGTGACCTGCCGTCATGGTCCCAGGGGAGCAGAGAGCACAGAGGACGAGTTAGCCCAGGAGGGGCCCAAGCTGACTGAAGAGGAGTGTGGGGCGGGTGGAGGGAGGGCAGCCGATGAGGAGGCGTCAGGGTGAGAGGTCGTGGGACAGCTGGTGAGTGAGACCTGGGAGACGCCTGGACGTCCTCAAGCCTGGAGAGTAAGGTGATTGCATTTGCACTTTAGAAGGATCAGGCAGGTACCAGGATGGAGTGTGGGCTGGAGGAGAGAGATGGAGAAGGCAGAGCCATTGGAAGGTGACGACGTGGTCCAGACAAGCAGTGATGGGGCTCTGAATCACGGCGGAGGGGAGGGAGGGAGGGAAGGGAGCTGGAGGCTTCCCAGGCAGCTTTAATCATAGTTGGTGGCATTTTGGATCCAGGAGGAAGGTGAGGGGGTGGTGATGGTGGCGAGTGCGCTTCTGGCTCAGGGCCTGGAAATGGGAGTTGAGGGAATGGGGACCTTTGGGACCGGAGGAGAGTGGGGAGTTGTGCGGAGGCCGCAGGCTAGGTCGTGCCGCACCTCTGGCCTTTCCTGGTCATCCCCTGCAGTGAAGGAGACACAAGAAGTCATCTTCAGGCCCTTGCAGGTCGAAGGCGTGAAGCTAAGACTTGACTTCTCTGGTTTGGTCAATGCGGTAACTGAACGTAGTGTTGTTCTGTTTTCCAGGGCAAATGACGCAGCTCTGCGAACTGATCAACAAGAGTGGGGAGCTCCTTGCGAAGAACCTGTCGCATCTGGACACGGTGCTCGGGGCTCTGGACGTGCAGGAGCACTCCCTGGGCGTCCTTGCTGTTCTGTGAGGCCCCTTCCTCTGCGCTTCTGTGCTTGCTGGGGCTGAGCACCGCACACTTGTGGGCTTTATTTTTGGTGTAGGAAGTAAACAGCGTTGGGCTCTTCTGCACGACGAAAGTCATGGCGTCGCGCTTGCATTTTACTCATCCCAGCTGATCATTGCTTTTATATTTTGTTGTAGTATTTTTTCTAAGTCTTATGTTTATACAGATTTTGAAATTTATTTTTAAAAAAGGAATGGCTACCTCAGGTGTGGGCCCTAGGTTTGCATTTATCTGAATACTTTGATCCATGTAATCCGTCGGATTCTCCACTTTTCTAATTTGAAAAGGGAATAGGGAGGCGTGATGGAACAGGCTGGGTGACGGGAGCCATTACCCACGAGCCAAACTGCCTTGCTTCAAATTCCCTTTGGACAAGTTCAAGCTGGGTTTTTCCTTTTTCAGTGGTGGTGGTGGCATTTTTAAAAAATGGAAGTCGTTAATGTGCAAGTTTAAGCCATTTTAAGGCCAAGTTAAATACAGCTTGCTTCTGTTGGTCTGTGGAACTCTTGTGAGTCTGCACTGGAGAGCTGAATTCTCTTCCTTTTGATGTTTTAGTACAAATTGGGGTTTTATAGTGGCCACAAAAGTTGAAATAATGTAGATAAACTGAGAAGAAACTGGCCTCAGGTGAGGTCTGGCTTCACTCACCCTGGGGTTCCTGAGAGGTGTGTGTCAGGAATAGAGTGTGGACAGGCGGAACAGCCAGGGCGAAGGGTCTGCGCCGTGCTCTGCGGGATGGTGCCGCCGGCCATGTGGGCCTGTTTGAACGTTGGGATTCGACTCCTCAGCTGTACTTGCCACATCTCAGGGACGCAGGACCTGCCCACTGCCCCTGGGCAGCGCAGATGTGGACTGGGGCCACCTCTGCGGAGGGTTCTGCCGCCTGGGGCTGGCCGCTAAGGGTTTCTACCATCTGTGTTTTCTGATTAAAAGAGCAGGCATCACGTTTTATGTGCACGTCACCTTGCATGCTGCTGTGCGTCAGGTGAGACGGTGTGTGTGAGAACATTCAGGGCTGTAAGGCGTTCTCCCCGCGTGGCTGTCAGAGAGGACCTGGAACAGCCCTGACCTTGTTTCCGGGCCCCCGGGCTTGAATCTCTGTTCCTCCGGTTATGAGGCGTGGGGCCCTGGGCTTCTTAATTTTATTTATAAAACGGAAATCTCAGTGCCTTAGCGACCTGTTGTGAAGCCCAAGTGTGATTGTGTGGACACGCTGTGATCCCAGAGAGCGTGGGCGCGGGTGTGAGGAGGCGTGCTGTCGCGGGACCTGCGCGGGTGGCGCTGCGAGGACCGGAGGATGATGAGGCAATGCTTGCCAGCTCATGTTTCTTGAAATGAGTTACAGCTGTTCATTGAAGTAAAAAGCGTGAAGTTCACTTGTAAGCAGTGTCTAGGCGGTAGCAGCTTCTGTGATTTCTCCCCTGAAACCTGTTCCCTGCCCCCTCACCACCTCGGTGTTCATGCTGGCTCCTGGCGGCCGCATGCCAGGTGGCCTGGGCTGGGTCATCCTCGTCGTCCCTCTCACCGTCGCGCTCCCTCCTAGCCTGCCGTCAGCGCGGCCTCCCCGCTGGACCCAGCAACCTGAGTCCTGGGGCCGCACCTCGCACCCGAGCCGCGGCCCCGCCAGTCCACAGCTTCAGTCCCTGCCCCCAGGCTGTTCCCCCAGGCAGGAAAGAATGGGGGGTTCCAGTGGCTGGCCACGTTGGACCTCAGAGGAAGATGTTTTTTAAATTTTGGTTAAAAGTTTATATTCAGTTACTGCACGAGTATTAGATGACCTGATATTTGGCTTCATTTAGTGGAGTTTTCTTTTTTGAAAGTTGTTCTTTTTGGGTGTGTTCTGTTTCTTTTTCTTGCCTTATTGCTCTGGGTAGAAATTGTTATTTTATAAGCATATTTTTCTTAACCTCTATTTGCACCTGTGTTCTGTGTCTTGATTGTGCAAAGAACCGGGCCGGGAGACTCTCATGGACTCTGGTTCTTCAGCTGTAAAAACACTGTGACTCCTCTAAAGTCACAGGGCGCTGGGCAGGATGGACTTGTGACGTAAGCGGCTTCTGCGCCTCCCCTGGGGCCGTCAGGACAGGGCTGTCTTCTCTGCCGCAGGTTTGTGAAGTTCTCCATGCCCAGCGTGCCCGACTTCGAGACGCTGTTCTCGCAGGTCCAGCTCTTCATCAGCACTTGTAACGGGGAGCACATCCGTTACGCGACGGACACCTGTGAGTGGAGCAGCCTTTTCCTCTTCTCCGCGGGATGTGCTCTGCCCTGTAGTCATTTATGTTTTCAATATTCTGTTATTGTTACATCCAGTTGCGGGGCTTTGCCATCAGCTAACAAATGCACTTGTGGAAAGGAAGCAGGTAAGAATGTTGTTCGAGTATTTATAGTTCCATTTAATGTGACCTAACGTGCGCCGCGGACTGGCTTGCTAGATGACGGCTGGGTCCTGAGCGTCCTGCCGGTGGTGTCTGTGGTCCCCACAGAGCCCGGGCGTTCGCCGTGGAGACCTGCGCTGGGGTGGTGGGGCGGCCGCCGCCTGCGTTTGAACTGCCCTCTGGAGCCCTTGGTGTTGTCACAGGCAGCTCTTCCGTTTGCTCGCTAAAACTTGTAATTTGTTTTATGGCAAAATTCTAGCTGCACAGAAGGTTGTCAGCATGTATGATTAGCTGCCATGTATGCCCTTCACCTGGCTTCTTCCACTCTTGCTCATTCTTGTCTCTCTTTTTCCTGAGCCTTTGGAGGAAGTGGCAGACCTGGTGCCCCTTATCCTAAGGACCTCGATGTGAGTTCCTTAAAAATCAGGACGTTCTCCCCTGTAACCGCAGTGCAGTGATGAGCACCAGGAGATGAGCCTTGATTTGACCTTCAGCAGCTCTGACCTTATTCAGGCTCTCCCAGTTGTTTCACTAATGACTTTTATGACAAGAGAAATTCTCAGATCGTGGGATACATTGCACTGTGGTGTCTCTTTAGTCTCCTCGGTCTGGTAAACTCTTTTCTTTCTCTTCTGTGACATTGACACAAGGTTCTTTTTGATTTGAAATTGAGCTGTAAGACTAGTGGTGCGGAAGAGACTGAAGACAGAGCCAGCTGGCATTTTGTAGGAGAGCGACATAGATGGTGACAGAGTGAGAGGGTTAAAAAAGCCGACAAGCCTTTGCTGGAAGAGACATGTGAGTTACCCGGTTATCTGACGTCACAGCTCCTCTCCAGAAATGAGCTGTGCCTCCCTTGAGGCTTGTCGTCCGTGGTCAGGGCAGGAGGACCGTCTGCCTGTAACTTGTGGTGTCGCCTTCAGCAGTGAGCTACCGTCAGGCAAGGGGTGCTGGCGAGTACGTGCCGGTGGTACCTAGGCCGCCCTGTGGGAGGTGCCAGCGTCCTTCCCCACAGGCTGCCTAAGCATAGGTCTCGGCTGCTGTGAGTCACTTGGAAAACTTCTGTTTGTTTAGCTGTAAAGTATAATGAGCTGTTGAGAACATAAAATTGCTTTGGATAATTGATCTTCATTGTAAAAAAAAGTCTTTATGGTTTAAAAAAATCGTACTGAGTTACTCTAAGTGTCACAACAAGCAGCTTAAGGAAACGTTTTCGACTGACTAGGAAGGGGAGCTTCCCGAGGGGCTGGGGGACCTCATGTTGTTGCATAGGGAGCTGTTGGCGAGAGCACAGGACCCAGCGCGCAGCTGCCCGAGGCCTCAGCTGAGGAGGTGTCATCTCTCGCAGCCCCTGCGAGGAATTGGCGTCCTCAGGCAAGCCATAGACAAGATGCAGATGAACACGAACCAGCTGACCTCGGTCCATGCCGACCTCTGCCAGGTGAGCAGCCCGGGCGCGCCGCGCCGTCTTATTCTGGATGCTTCGGAAAGCGGAGTGATGTGATCGGTAAATGTAAGACAGAGGACTTTCTGGAATGTGTGAATGCGCTCCTTCTGCTGAAGCCTGCGAAGTCCAGTTAGAGGGGTGATTTCTCTGCGTTTTCCACAGCTGTGTCTGCTGGCCAAGTGCTTCAAGCCTGCGCTCCCGTACCTGGACGTGGACATGATGGACATCTGCAAGGAGAATGGGGCGTACGACGCCAGGCACTTCCTGTGCTACTACTACTACGGCGGCATGCTCTACACCGGCCTCAAGGACTTCGAGAGAGCCCTCTACTTCTACGAGCAGGTAGTGGCCCTCCAGGGCCCCTGCGGCCGCTGGGGCGGGCACTGGCAGGTCCGCGGCTGGAGCCGTGGGTCCCGGCCTGGGTTGCGGGTGAGGGTCGTTTCAGATTTCAGTCTGTTTCTGTGGCCAGGTGACCAGTGGTCGCCCGCCCTGGAGGGGAGTGGGGCAGTGGAGGGAGGAGTGGGCTGGTCCCAACCTTGCTACTGACTCCCTGTCTGATGAGGGTTGGGGTCTGAGCTTCTGGGGAAGAGTGGAATGGACCAGCCTTTGAGGTGTCTTACCGAGTAAAACGTCCTCCCGGCTCGTGATTCAGAGGATATTAAGGAGGACCCGGTGGAAGGCCCCTCGCACCCGGGCGTCCGAGTGATGAGACGGGCTCCGTGGTTCTGGGTGCTCACTCAGGGCCTGGAAAAAGACATACAGCACTGGCTAAAACCAGTGTTATATGACAAATACGTAGGATGTTCATAAGTTCTGTTTTGTTCAGAGCACCTGTTGAGGGAGTAAAAGAGACCCCAAGATTTCGAGGAACTCACTGTCCGAGATGCTCGTGGAAACACACCCCCACACCCATGACTGGGCGTCGCCCCAGTGGGGGGGGGCGCCCGGGGAAGCTGACCAGAGGGTGCTGGTGGGCAGGGGCAGTGTCACTAAAGGATGTGTCTTGTCCGGTGAAACCCTCCAGGTGACTTTAGGTTAAGAGCACACAGACAGCTGCAGACACACACTTGGCTGCCACTGGCTGCCGTATCGCTTCATGGCCCAGAAGACTCCCTGTGGAACACTGCTGGTCTGGGAGAGCCGGGGGGTGGGCATTGACGGGCCAGAATGCAGTGCACTTAGAAAACGTCTAGCGCAGGTGATGAGGACGTAAAAACAAAACAGTTCTTGTGTTTTGAGATAGACTTTTACCTGGTAATTCCCTCTTCTGCCCTGCTGACAGGCACTATCCAGTGTCAACCTCCGTTGTGCCACTGTGTGCTAATGATGTGCCTTGGTTAGAGATGATATTAGTGCCTTAATTTCAGAAGGCGAGGCAGGTTTTTTTTTTTACTTTAAAAAAAATTCCGAAAGAAGGATATACTGAAAGAAATTCAGATCTCAACCTTATTAAATAAACAGTGAGAGCAGTTTCGTCCTCAGACCACAGCGCAGATGCACTGAGCTTCCATGCTCCCGACCGGTGTTTCCCTCAGCAGGCCCTGGTGGGTCACTGAAAGCAGTGTTGCAGAGGGGGAGGGTACAGCTCAAGTGGTAGAGCGCATGCTTGGCACCCAAGAGGTCCCGGGTCCGATCCCCGGTACCTCCACCAAGCGGAACTCAGTGAAGAAACCTCATTACCTCCCCCTCAGAAAGCAGTGTTGCACAGACCCTCATGCGCTTACGGGAGTGTTTCTGTCCACAGAAACACTCCTGTCATTCTCAGGAGAGGTGCCTTCCAAGCTCAGCGTCTTGGGCTTTGATTTGAAATATTTGGGCTGATTTGGTTGTGGTGGTTTTCAGTTCTTAACCTTCATAAATCCAGGTGAAAGAAAGTGGATGGACATGGGTTGGGGATACTTGCAGGCCACGATTCCGATGAGGCTTATGTTCAGAACGTACAAAGATGTCTTACGTTCAACAATAGAAAAACTAGAACTTCTAAATGGCAATGGATTTGAATACACATTTCTCCAAAGAAGACATACAGGTGGCCAAAAGCATCAGGGAAGTGCAGATGAAAACCACAGTGTGATGTCAGTTCACGGCAGGATGGCTGAAACTGGAGAGACAGTCAGCTGTGGGTGCTGATGCGCACATGGACAATTCGGAGCCCTGGTGGTTGCCGGTGGGGGTGTCAGAGGGTGTGGCAGGTTAAATGCAGGCTCCACGTGGCACAGCAGTGCCACTCCCAGGAGTGCGCCCAGGAGCAGAGGGCCAGCGTCCACGCACAGTGGCAGGATTCCTGAGGCCAGAGGGTGGAAACAGCCCAGGTGCCCGTCAGCTGAGGCACTGAATGAACAAAACGTGGTCTCTCCGTACAGTGGGGTGGGGCGCCCACATCGGTGAGCCCCAAAATGAGCCACTGAAGCCGTTCACAGAGCCCACACGGTGCCCTTTGGGTGAGGACATCTGGGAGCTGTGCAGGAGGGGAGCGGGGCCGGGGAGGGGAGGTGGCTGCTTGGGAGTCTGGAGCTTCTCTCTACGGGGTGAGAATGCTCTGAAGTTAGGAGTGGTGCCGGTTACCCAACGTGGGGAAAACACCGAAGCCCAGTGAGTTGTGTGTGTTCCAGGGGTAAAGTCTATAGCCTGTGAATTACGTCTCAGTAAAGGTGTTACAAAAATAATAGGACATTTTGCTTAAGTTCTTTTTTAAGTTAAGTGAATTAGGTGAGTAGATGAAATACGCAGCTCATTAGGGCACCCCGTGCGCTTGGCTCGCCGTGGGGAGCGCCGCCCTCACCGCCCCGCCCCCCCCGCAGGCCATCGCCACCCCTGCCATGGCCGTCAGCCACATCATGCTGGAGTCGTACAAGAAGTACATCCTGGTCTCCCTGATACTGCTCGGCAAGGTGCAGCAGCTGCCCAAGTACACGTCTCAGATCGTGGGCAGGTTCATCAAGGTGAGGTGTAGGCGCAGCTGCTCCCCTCGGTGACGTGCTCTGTGTGCAGAGCTGTGCTGTGCACGGGTCTGCCGTTCTCCCTCCCGGCCCGACGGCAGCGCCAGGCAGCAGGTGTCTGCTGGGGTCGCAGCCGCGGGCCTGGCGGGTCCCTGCTGCCTTCTGTCCCGGGCGGCGGGTTTCCTCTGTCTGGACCCCGAGCTCTACTCACGGAGCCTCTGTTTTCACTTGAGGATGTGACTTAATTTTTTCTTTTTTGATAATACGTGCTCATGGTTTTTGTTTTTGTTTTCTACATTGAGGTCACAGTCATTTTGAGAACAATCTTATTTCGATCCTCCTTGTACAAAACTCAGAATTTCCAGAGATCAGTCTGAAAACCATCCTGATGAGAAGACCCCTGTGCTGTCTGTTGAGGACAGCCAGTGCCGTCCTCCCCCCAGGAGCCCCTGTGGTGGCTGGGGCTCCGGCTGCTGAGGCACAGGTTGGGGAGGGGGCATGTGAGCGGTCCCCTGGACCCCACGGCGGGTTGTTCCCGTGGCCCTCGAGTGACTCGTTTTAGAAGGAGCACTTTTATGAAGTGGCATCCTTCTGACGCGGCACCGTCTGCGGGAGCAGTGGTTTGTTCGTGGCGACAGCAGCGATGGCAGGGAGCAAACAGGCTCGGAACAGACATAGGTTTGGGGCCGTGTCTGCCTGTGCTCCTCAGGGCCGCGCAGCTCCCTCAGGCCTACGCCGGCTCTGGGACCGCCTGTACCCGTTCTGACCTGCAGCGTGCTGCGGGGTGGGGGGCAGGAGGGAGCCCGGGAGCTGGGCTGTGCCTGCCTGCCTCCCAGTGCAGCTCCCGGAGAAGAATCGGGGCTCGGTGGGGAGAAAAGCCCTGCGTGCCCTTCCGGGTTCGCGCTCTGCTGCAAGGTTGTGGGTTTTCAACAATGAACTGCTCCACAGTGATTCTCTAAAGTAGGCATTTGCTTTGGGTGAGTCACAGCTCGTCAGGCGGCAGCAGGATGAAGGGCTCTCCGTGTACTGGCTCCAGACGTGGTGCCGTGTGTTCTGCTTCCTGTTCAGATTTCATTCCTGACTCTTTGTCTGGTTTTCTCTGCCCTCAAACCTGCAGCCTCTCAGCAACGCGTACCACGAGCTGGCACAGGTCTACTCCACCAACAACCCCTCGGAGCTGCGCAACCTGGTGACCAAGCACAGTGAGACGTTCACCCGCGACAACAACATGGGGCTGGTGAAGCAGTGCCTGTCCTCTCTGTACAAGAAGAACATCCAGAGGCTGACCAAGGTGCGGCTGCTGGGAGGCCACGCCCGGCCCCTGCCTCCCCTGCGCCCGGCCTCCGTCTCCCCGCGCCTGTCGTGCTCGGGAAGCGGGTGCAGGGATGAGGTGCGGCAGGGTCGCAGTCCCGAGGACTCGGCACGTTTCTTAGAGAGACTGACGTACACGTTTCAGTCTAGCGCAGGGGATTTGGGAAGCGGACAGGTGATGAGGAGAGGACAGGTAGGCAACGTGGCTTGCCTGGGAGGCAGGGGAAGGCAGCCCGAGAGAGGTAGACAGCCTTGGGGGCAGAGGGTGACGCTCTGAGCTGGCCTGCCCTCCGCGTGGGCACGTGTGCCCTCAGGCCAGGGTCACATGGCCACGTGCGGTTCAGCTATGGGAGGTCAGCCTGTGTAGTTTTTATCTTCACGATGCAAGTAAACCTGATGGGTTTTGGTCATAGGAAATGTGCTTGTTACGGAGGGTTCACGCCACACAGGAAAGCGTAAAGGGAAACGGAGCCCCGAGAGCCGGGAAGGTGGGGCCGCAGGTGGTAGGACCCTGCGGAGGAGGGGGGCAGCAGCTCAGGGTGGGGGACGTGGTGACCGCACACCCTCTGCCCTGGGGCAGTGGGGGGATGATGGTGGCTCTGACAGCGCCAGGGCCTGGAGAGGCTGGTGGGGGGCCGAGGAGGGCGAGCTGGACGGAGTAGCTGTGGCCTCCTGACTAAGAGCAGCAGAGACGTCGTAAAGCTGGCTTGTAGGAGGGAAATGAAGAGGAGGAAGAGAAGGCAGCTAGAGAGCTCGTAACGGCTACCGCCTTCAGCCGGAGCGAGGTCAGCGCGACCCACAGGCCAGAAAGCCTGGCCCTGAGAGCTTCGAGGTCGCCGGCAGCCTGGCTCCCCGCAGGGTTTTCTGTTTGTCCCGGTGCTCTAGGTACGCTCCTGTCCCCCCGCCAGGAGGACCCCTGGGAAACAGCCACACCGTACGCGGGAGACTACTGCTGGGAGTTCAGATAAAAAATCAAAACGTTAGCGGGTACAAGACAGCGCGTGTTGAAAATAGCGTTAAAAAGCAGAGTGGCAGATAAAGGCTAAATGAAGAGTTAGAACTTAAGGAGTCTAGTGAGTCGGCATCACTGCAAACGTCAGTGGCTGTTCTGCAAGGTCGGCAGCCTCGGGCCATCATGTGGAGCAAGGTGATGGTGTGGAGGGAGGAGCCCAGGTGGGGAGTGCAGCTTTCTGCTGTGGGCTAGATAAATCCAGAACAGCAGCTGCCCAGACACGAGGGCCAGCCCAGGGCTGGGCAGGGCCCTGTGGCCACCGGTGTCCTGAGTCCTGTGCGTGCTGCCTCACTGTTGACTGGGGGCTGCTGGGGTGGGGCACTGCAGGGTGTGGCCTCGTGTCCCCGAGAAGAGTAACGGAAGGGGAAAGGCAAGGACGGTCTAGCCTGGCAGGCAGTCTCGTTCTGATTCAAAAGGAGAGGAATCAGGAGCTCCCAGAAGTCTCAGCAGGTGTGCGGGTGCCAGTGTCGGGGACTGGCGGCATGTCCCAGGGCGTGGCTGGCTGGAGGGCAGCTGGGGCGAGGGGTCATCACGTGGGGTCAGGCCTGGGCCGTACTGATGTTCGGTGGGCGTTTCTCTGGATCCCCTCCCCCTCCTGTGGGTGTAGACACTTCCGTGTTCTGCGCCTGCTCTTGGTTCGGTGCTGTCACCATTGCCATGGCAGCATGAGCCGGTGTCCTGGCGACCTCTCACGCACTGTGTTGCTCAGGAGCTCGTCCTCTGCTGGCCAGCCCTCTTCTGACAGGCGTGCACGTGGAGGTTCCTACTTACTGTGAAGTAGGAAACATGATGGTTCTGTGTGTTTAGAAATGCTCTCTTTTGAGTCCTCATCGAGTTAAAGTCCTTGGGCACCTCTTGCAATTAACAGTACTTTCGTTTCTGGGGGGTGCTACTCTCCGAACTAAAGTATACGTGCAGTTTTTGGTCATTGGCTTACCCAGAATTTTCAGCGTCACTCTCTCGACTGCCTGCTCAGAAGCAGCCGTCGTGGTGACCGTCACCACCTGCCCTGGAAAGGGAGCTCGCTCTCTGAGCGTGCTCCTGAAGGGGTGTTTTCACGCGGTCCTGGGTGGACCTGCGGTGAGCTCTGGTCTCCTTTGAACCCCTCATCTGTTGACACGTTTTAGCGTTGAACTTTGAAGGATAAATACGGTTTTTTTCCAGTATTATATTCTTTAAAGGTGATACATTGATGGTACAGAGTTAGAGATAGAGCAGTCTCCGGCCAGTCCCTCTACCCCAGCCGCCCTTTCTCTTCCCCGGAGGCACCAGCATTGCAGTTTCTTGAGCCCCTTCTGGAGGTCACCTGGGTACCTGTGAGCGCATCGTTCCCGCGTGTGCCGCTCGTCTGCAGGCTCCCTTCCCTTCGCAGGCGTGAGTGCTATGGGCCCTGCCCTGCCTCCTCCTCTGTGTTTAGTGTGAGCATAGCTCGGGCCCTTTCTCACGTCGTCACCCCTCCACAGCCGCAGAGCAGTCCTCTGTGTGACTGTGCTGCACTGGCGAACCCGGCTTCGCCGTCGCACGTGGAGGCTCCTGTCCTCTCCCACTGGGGGCGGCCCCGTGCGTCTGTCAGGAAGCCTGTGCGGGCTTCTCTCTCACGTCATCTCCCCCCTAGGAAGCTCTCAGGTCATCTGCACAGCAAAGAACTGTTTTGTACAGTCATGAAAAGCAGTTTTCAGTGGCTCAATGCAACTCTGCACGTTTAATGCAGTTTCTTCCGTCAGTGCTTCTACTTGTGATTGATTAGCTTCTGAATTTCAGACCTTTTTAACGCTGTCGTTGCAAGACATGGCGAGTCGTGTGCAGTTATCTGGGCCTCAGGAGGCAGAAAAGTACGTCCTGCACATGGTAAGTGTGTTTCCATTTTTCAGAAGTTCGTGGATTCACTCCTTGTGAAAGTAGCAGGTGTTCATTATGGGAAATACAAAGCAGGAGAAAGGGGTGTCCACTGGGCGTGTTTCTTGACTTCCTCTCAGTCTGGGGCGTTGTCGGGTCACACGTGCTTACGTCGTGTGCACGGCCGTGTCCCGTTCGTGCTCATTGTTTGTGTTCTCGTTGGCGGAGACTTCGTGAGCACCACTTGCAACACTCATGAAGTGTTTGACGTGCACAGAGGCACCAAGCAGTGCTGCCCGCCTGCTGGCCGGTGACGAGGGCGCAGACCAGTGCCTCCCGGAGGGCCGGCCCGGCCCTACTGCCCCGGGACAGCCCGGCAGCTCGGCCGGGTCACGGTGGCCTGACTCGAGCCCTCAGCCCTCACGTAGCGCGCTCAGACCCAGCTTCGACGTCCAGATGTCTCCAGTACACCTGACACCCCAGCTGCTTCCTAGTTTCACATGCTCGCTCCCCAGTTTGGTTAAATGACTACGTGGCAACGCTCCAAGCTGAAATAGCATGATCTCCCTACCTGTTCAGATGTAAAGGGCGTGGCTCTGACCTGAGCCACCAGAAGCAAACCCAGGTCCTCAGCCCAGGGCAGGCACTCTCCTTGTGTGCGGAGGGCACTCTGCCTTTTCCTCCCAGTGACCGGCCCCCGCCCCCGTGGTCTCAGGGGCATTGCCCGTCGGGATAAGAGTGACAAAAGTACTTTCAGCTGTGATAATGGAGCACCTTGTTTCTGTGGTTCAGCTTGCCAGTGCCTGGAGGTGTTTCAGCCTCACCCTCAAAACAGGAACACGCCCCAAACAGAACCCGTCCGACTTCACCAGCCTCTGAGTGCCTGCCGGGGGCATGTGCTGTCCCAGGGCTCCGCCGCGTGGGTCACCCTGGACCCTGGTCTTGCCCAGCGGTGGGAGGGAAGGGGTGTGTGAGTGGTGAGGACACGGCCAGTGGAATGCTCAACCGACACGGACAGGCCTGGACAGGCTCTGGCTCAGCCGGGGTTTCGTCTGCAGGGGACACGTGGCACTTGTCAGGGCCAGTGTCTGAGGACGCTCCTGCTTGTCAAGCTGGGGTGCTGCTCCCCTGGCGGCAGGGCTCAGGGGTGCTGCTTGACCCTGCAGGGCAGAGGACAGACCCCATGAAGAATCGTCTGGCTCACAATGTTAGCACTGCCACACTTGGAAAATCCTGCCCTAGAGTGTAAGGTTTAGAAAGGCAGGGATTTTCCTTTTCTTTTAATTAAACTATTTTTTTAGAGCAGTTTGAGGTTCATAGCAAAATTGAGGGGAAGGTACAGTGAGCCCCACAAACCCCCCGCCTCCACATGCATAGCCTCCCCCGCTGTTGGGGACCCCCCCCCCGATGGAACGTCTGTGGCAGCGGCTGCACCTGTACCAGCAGGCGTGTGGTCGTCACCCAAACCCTGAAGTTGGCATCGGGGCTCACGCTTGGTGCTGTACGTGCCGTGGGCTTGGACGCAGCGTAGGGACACGTATCACCATCACCCTGTCACGGGAGCGCTTGCTCTGCCTTGTGCTCCGCCTGTTCGCCGCTCCCACCCCGGTCTCACGGACCCTGCGGTTTTGCCTTTCCCAGAGCGTCGCGCGGTAGGAGCCGTGCAGTGTGCAGCCTTGTCAGACCTGCCCCAGCCCTCCCTGTGGCCAGAGAGGTGGCTGCTTTCCTGGCCTCTGACATCCTTTTCAGTCGTGTCCTACTCTTGAGCTCTGTAATGAAAGGATGCACATTCTGGGCCCAGTTTTTTTGCTCGATGTTATGAGATTCGTGCACTGTGTATAGAGTTGTGGTTTATTCGTTTCAGGGCCACGGTGTTCACTGTGTGAGTAAAGCTTTCTGTTCTCACTACAAGGACGTTTGCGTTGTTTCCAGGGGTAGTTGTCACAGAAAGCGCTGCTGTGGTGAACCAGGTCTGCATTTCCTCTTGGTGTATTCCATTCACTTTTTGTAGACGCAGCTTTCACGCCTTTAGTTTACTATGTGTCAGGCTGGCGTCTATTTCATTAAGTAGCACCTGTCCCTTCTAGGCAGCTCGGCTCCACTGTGACCGGTGGACTCATTGCTGTCACCTGTAGAGTAATTTGTTAGGAACAGCAAACCTGTTTGGGGTTTTTTGGCTTCCTACTTTTTCCCTTCACGGACAGGCTCTGGCTACAAGGGTCAATCAAATAAATCCCCAGTCATTCACGCAAGCGAAGACCGCAGACCTTGCGCCGCCTTGGAGGCAGCACTGGCGGCAGAGTTTTCTTGAAGCATCAGAACATCGTTCCTCCTGAAATGAAAGTGTGTTAGGGTTTCATTTTTTATTTTTATTTTTATTTTTTAACTTTTTTTTATTGAGTTATAGTCAGTTTACAGCGCTGTGTCAAATTCCAGTGTAGAGCACAATTTTTCAATTATACACGAACATACATATATTCATTGCCGCGTTCTTTTTCGCTGTGAGCTACCACCAGATCTTGTATGTGCTACACAGTGTAATCTCGTTTATCTACTCTACATATGCCTGTCAGTATCTGCACATTCTGAACTCCCAGTCTATAGGGTTTCAGTTTTTAAAACGCAAGGGTGCAGTGTAAATGATATCTCACTGAAATTGTTTGAAGATGCAAAGACACTTCGAAAACATTCCGCACACTGTGTGGTTCCACTTGTGTGAGATGCCCCAGCAGGCAGATCCACGGGGCTGAAGGCCAGTCAGTGGTCGCACATCTGGAGTATAAAGAAATGGCACCCAGTTGTTTGCTTTAAGGTGGTTAACTTACGTTATGTGAATTTTATCTGAGAAAAATGAAAGGAGGGGTGTGTGTGTGTGTGTGTGTGTGTGTGTGACCCCTTTGCATCTGTACCAGCACCTAGGACATAATAGGTGCTTGATAAATACTTGTTGAATAAACAGGTGGTACTTAAAATACACATACGTGTTTGGTTGGTTGCTTTCCCCGTGACGTTTGTATTAGAACACTCCATACTCACATGGTGTTCAAGCCTAAACTGCTTTCCTGATTTCTCTCTCATAGATAGAAGATGGCGAGATTTTTGCAAGTATTAATCAGAAGGACGGGATGGTCAGTTTCCACGATAACCCTGAGAAGTACAATAACCCCGCCATGCTTCACAACATTGACCAGGAGGTGAGGGCGAGCCCCAGGCTGTCCTGCCTGGCGTTTACCGTGTTGCACCTGAGACGCTGCCTCTGTTCCAGGGCCACTTTAGTTTTAAATACAAGTAGTTCCCGACTCGTTTCTAAGAACATTTTATTTCCTAGAAAGTTAACTTGGCAATGGACTGCTTGAAACTGCCAGATGTGTGGCTGCAAGCAGATGGTGGGCTGGAGTTCTCGTCCCGCTCGCCGCAGCCTGCTCCTCTCCCGGAGCACTTAAGGGTTTTGTAATTAGCACAGTCTTGTCCACACCCCACTGTCACTTACAACACTGTGCCTCGAGTCTTTGGTGAGCTGTGTCTGGAGTTGCGGGTTGGAAGGTCAGGAAACCTCGCTCTGAGGAGGCGGGCAGCAGAGAGGGAGGCCATCCCGAGGGTCTCGCTGGGCAGCAGCCGTGGCGCCTCTGCACCCTCTGCAGGGTGCTGTGCTGCGCGCCTCTGGTTCTGGACGTGGGTTGGGGGTGTGTGGGTGGTCTGTTTCCCACCTGCGATCAGGGAAACGGACTGGGCCAAACGTTAGGTCTCACTAGGAAACCTACAGGCAGTGCATGCCAGCACAGGGTGTCTCCACAGTCCTTGATTGGTACTTTAAAATTTTAAGAAACTTGAGAGCTGGAAGGGTTTTTTTGGTGACTCACTTGATGGGAACTGTCCCCTGAAATGGTGTCTAGTCTTCACGCCCCTTAATGTGAGCATTTCTAGGCCTCACTGCGGAAGACGCTGATGCGTGTGATGACGGCGTGCTGCCCCGGGCACTGCCAGGCTGTTGGCTAACAGACAGCACTGTCCTGTGTTCACATTCTGAATCCAGCCAACTCTGACCCGAAAACCCGTGCAGCCTCCAGGTTGCGAGCCTGTCGCTTGGTGTGCGGTGGTCTAGGCTGGAGGGTGTGACTGCCCTGAGCCCTGCCCGGCGCACTCACCTGCCATCCCCCACGCAGATGCTCAAGTGCATAGAGCTGGATGAGCGGCTGAAGGCCATGGACCAGGAGATCACCGTGAACCCCCAGTTTGTGCAGAAGGTGCGGGGCCCCTGGGGGGGAGGATTGGGGCCAGGAAAGTGACCCTGGTTTCAGGTTGAGTGTTTACTTCCTGGAGCTCTTGGAAATCCCAGGAGTAAAGTTCACAGACAAGTGCTGACTGATGCCAGCGTGCAGGCTCCGGGCTGGGAGTGTTGGGGACGTGTCGGGGTCCCTGGGGTGGCCTGCCCTGAGTCGCATTCAGGGTGACGTCCTCTGGAGGGGCAGGTGCTGGGTGCTGGTGGGAAGCCCTCGACCAGGGCAGCTGTGAACACTGCCTCTCCCTCCTTTGCAGAGCATGGGCTCACAAGAGGATGATTCAGGAAACAAACCATCCAGTTACTCCTGAGGCCAGCGCTCGTCCTGCGTTAGAGGGAAACTGTCCCTTGGCCGGTGGCAGGTGTCGGGAGGGCAGCGGGAAGGACCAGCCGCTTCGCCTGGATCCTGCCACGTTACGTTTTGTTTTGACATCTTCAGTCCTGTGTGCTTTCAGAGAACCATTCTCTCTGCAAAGAAAGGAAAAAGTTTTCAAACTTTAAAGCTTGTGGATTTATTTATCCTCAGATTAATGTTGTTATTGCATTAAATCTGCCTTTTTGTTTTAAATTATTTGAACATTGATGTGTCTTCTGTATTACTTTTTTTCTCCTCTGAGAAATTTTTAAAGAATACACTGTGACCAGAAATAGCTTTTAGAAATTATTGGAAGATTTGAACCTAAAGTTGATTTCATTTGCCTTTAAAAAAAGGAAAAGGAGAAAGGCAGGCGAGGCCGCCAGGCAGAGGCTGACGGTTTAGAAGTGGCAGGCGGTTGAGAGACGCGTGAGTCGCGAGTAACAGGGGTGTCGTGTGCTTTCTGGCCTTCGCTGTGCTGCACTCCTCTAGTCTCAAGAAGGGCTTTTTGTTGTGAAACAGATGCAACTTTCCCGCTTTTTCTCCTGGAAGCATTTTCTGTTAATCTGCACGGCTGCATTTGGATGTGTCCAGGGTCGCTCCCTTCAGACCTGTGAAGTGCGTCCCCCACAGGTTCGCCTCGCTGGCCCCGCCATGCTGGGGAGGCTTTGTGAAGCGTGGTCAGATTAAACTGGAATTTGGTCCTTAAAGAACGTTTCTCTCGCTAGTAACATTCACTTTTTCAGGCGTGTCACGTTGTGTAGTCAGTCACATTTTCCTCATTTACAAAAAGAAACTCTGACACCTCGTGCCTAAAAGGTCGCCCTCATGGGCTTTGGGGTCACGGGCTTCATCGTGACGACAACTCCTGTGCTGCCAGGAGGCGGGCCGGGGCTGGCCCGACCCCAGGCCCCGACAGCTCGGCCCGAGTGAGGGCTGCCGTGGCCTCCGCGGCCGCCCCGTCTGCACACGTGTGCCGTGTCTGAGGGACACGCTGCCGCCGCGCCTGGGCTCCCGCCTGAGTGGTCACCAGAGCCGTTTGCGTGAGTAGCTGAGACTTGCTTTCAGTTAATTCTCAGCAGCAAATCACACTTGGCACCTGCAGCATCTTGGTGGGGCCTGGAGACGGTGAGTGTGCACCTAGGGCGTGAGGGCATCTGAGGCCCGAGGCTGTGGCCCGGGCTTGGGCTTCACTGGTGGACTCACGCTGGTGACCTTTCTAATTTTAATTGTTTTAGGTTTAATTTTGAGTGGAGGTAATTAGGTTTGCTTGCTTGTTCAATTAATTTAACGGAGGTGCTGGGCGTTGAACCCGGGACCTCGTGCGTGCTTAGCACGTGCTCTACCACAGAGCTCTGCGCTCCCCGACCCTGGGGGCTTTTCAAGGTTGTCTTTTCGTGGTAATCTCAAATGTTAATAAATACTCTGGATTTATGAGAATAATTCATTTCCCTCAGAATTTAATACTTGTATTTCCATTTGTGTTGGTGCCATGTGAAGCCCCCCAAGGGACAGTGTTCAACTTTCAGTATAGACTTTTTTAGAAGAGTATGCTTGGTCTGAGAGATCTCCAGTTTGGGACTGTCAATGAAAATAATAAAAAATCAAGAATAAGAACAGAAGTTTTATTGGAGCCAGCCTGAGGACCAGCCCTGAAGCCTGCTTCCCAGATGACTTTGAGAAACTGCTCCAGAGATGCGATTTCGAGCACAGTTTTATATCCTGTCAGAACAAAGAACACTGAACAAGTCAGAGGTACATTTCTTGAAGGTTTCAAAACAAAACACCAGATCTGCACATACACAGGACTCAGCGTGGCCTGGGCACCTGGGACTGGAGTCTTGTCGTTGAAGGAGGACCAGCACTGGCGTCCCAGGAAGAGGGCACTGAATCTTTATATTTGACGTGGACACTCTACTTCTGGCCAGTGTGCCCTTTTCTTTACTAATTAAAGCAGATGGACTGTGTATGTTTGATAGGCCACAAACAGGCTATTTTGGCATAAAATTCAAGTGAACTCATGTATAAGCCAGAATGACTTCCCTCCATCTCAATATGTGAAAATTAAATTCCTTTATCGAGATATACTGGCATAAGGTATTCTGTAAAGAAACATCTGGTTGCATGTTTTTGAAGTGGCTGTCGATGTTTTCTGAGCCAAAGAATAGTGGGCAAGAAAGGAATGGAATTTTTCTGCCCTGCGTGGAAGGCACCTCCTTTATTTCGTTTAGTAAATTGAAATCCCAAACACGCTGGAGAGTAGAATGTTACTGTAAAAGATACCAACTCGCCTTAGTAACAGAATAATGCCTGTGTAATCTAACCAGGGAAAGATACTTTTACTTTTCCAGCAAATAGTTTGGCGGGGGGAAAGCTAAGTCTTGGCTTTCTGAGCACGCTGAACTGCTGGACCTTCCTTGTTCAAGTTCTCTCCTCCATGCCAGTGGTCAAATTGTATTCTAATTCTCTCCTGTTACTTGCTTTTCAAAGATGCAGTTTTGGACTTGGACGTTTTATGTTTCTGGGTTGCAATGTGAAACAGTAGCCAATTTATAGAAGAAAACCATTATTTGCATGTATGAGCAGCTGCAAGGGGCCCAGAGAAAATAAACGACTGGGTAAGTGAGATTCTTGTGAATAGGAAAATGTGATGGCTGGCTACTCTTTTTAGGCACTTAAATTACTTAATGGTGGTGAACAAAAGACAAAATCCTGTCTGTAGCCTTTCCTAAAATCAAAAGCTGAAGCCAGAGACCTTTCACTAATTGTAAAAGGCATTTAATAAGACTGGATTCATAATAGTGTGTAAAAGTATATCATTAGACTAAAAGGTAACCACTTGGGATTTAACAAGTAGCTAGTGTTATATTAAATCGCCAGCTAATAAGCAGCTAGTATTAGATTAAACACACACACAAAAGCTGTCAGTTGAATTTTTTTTTCTTGTGGATGACATTTTTTTTAATAGACTTTATTCTTTTAGAGCAGTTTCAGGTTCACAACAGAACTGAGCAGAAAATACAGAGTTCGCACAGAGCCCTCCCCACCCACACACATATATCCTCCCCTACTCTTAACATCCCTCATCAGTGTGGCATATTTGGTACAATCGATGAACCAACATGGGCACATTATTACCGACCAAAGTCCATAGTTTACATTAGGGTTCACTCTTGATGTTGTATATTCTGTGGGCTTTGACAAATGCATAATGACATGTATCCACTATAGTACCATACAGAATAATTTCATTGCCCTAAAAATCCTTTGTGCTCCATCTAATCATTCCTCCCACCCTCCCTCTCCCCAAACCCCTGGAAACCATGATCTTTTTATTGTTTCTGTAGCTGTGCCTTTTCTAGAATGTCATTTGGTTGGAATCGTACAGTTAGTAGCCTTTTCACACTGGCTTCTTTCATTTAGTAATATGTCTTTTAAATGTCTTCCATGTCTTTCATGGCTTGATCTTTTTTTTCTTTTGCTGCACATATATTTTAAAATTTACATATGTGTACTGTTCATTGTTTCTAAGAACGTTTAGAGCTTTAGTTTTTTAAACTTACATAGTTATCAAGCGAATAAAGCCAACCACAAAACAAGAATTAATTTAAAAAGATATGTACACCCCCGCTATTAACAGCAACATTATTTATAACTGCCAAGATATGAAAGCTTCCTAAGTGCACACCAACAGATGAATGGATAAAGAAGGTATGTAATGGAATACAACTCACCCATAAGAAAGAAGGATATTTTGCCATTTGCAGCCCTTCATTCACTTTTTTTCCACTTCAAAACCCACAATTTTATAACGGGCATAAATATTTCCATTGCATCAAAAACAACAAAATACCTAGAAATAAACTTGACCAAAGAGGTTACCTATACTCTGAAAACTGCAAAACACTGATGAAGGAAATTGAAGATGATACAAAGAAATGGAACGACACCTTGTGCTCTTGGATTGGAAGAATCAACACTATCAATATGGCCACACTGCCCAAAGCAGTTCACAGATCCAACGCAGCCCCCGTCAAAATACTAGTGACATTCTTCACAAAACTGGAACAAACAAGTCCAAAATTTATATGGAACCATAAAAGACCCCAAGCAGCCAAAGCGATCTTTTGTAGGTTTTTTAAAACTTCTTTTTGTTCTCTTTTCTTACGGTTTGATGACTACAGGAGGTCCTTTAACATTTGTTACAAGGCTGGTTTGGTGATGCTGAAATCTTTTAGCTTTTGTTTATCTGTGAAACTTTTGATTTCTCCATCAAATCCGAACGAGAGCCTTGCTGGATACAGGCCCTCCCGCAGAAGTGAGAGTTCTAAGCCCCAGGTCAGGCTCCCAGGCCAGGCTCCCAGGCCTCCCGTTCCAGCACTGAAGTTTGTTTATATTTTTAGAAAACTGGACACGCTGCTCCAATGGGGAGGCAGGGAGTGAGTGGCGCATGCGCGCTCCTGCCCCGCCTCCCTCTGGCGTCGCGCTGTTCTGACGTCACCAGGCGCCCGCCTCCCGCCCCGGCCCCTGCCCGCGCGCTCCATCGACGGCCGGTTCCATTAAGAAAGTTAATAAAAACTAACGGTGAAACCAAAAGGAGTCGTTGCGACGTCCTCTTTCTTTTTTTTCTTCGCTGTGGACTGAGTCCTAATATGGCTATTTCACCGTCAAACCTCTATTTAAAAATTTTAAATTAAGCCACCCCCCC